TTCAGTTGGAATTACAGTTTGGTTAAACACCAGAGGACTCACACAGGAGAGAAACCCTTTGAATGTCCTGATTGTGGGAAAGGTTTCAGTCAAAGGTCCAGCTTGGTGGAACACCAGAGGACTCACACAGGAGAGAAACCTTTTGAATGTTCTGCTTGTGGCAAATGTTTCAGTCAGAATTCCAGTTTGATTAAACACCGGAGGAATCACACAGGAGAGAAACCCTTTGAATGCCCTGATTGTGGGAAAGGTTTCAGTCAAATGTCCAGCTTGGTGGTACACCAGAGGACTCACACAGGAGAGAAACCCTTTGAATGTCCTGATTGTGGGAAAGGTTTCAGTCAAAGGTCCAGCTTGGTGGTACACCAGAGGACTCACACAGGAGAGAAACCCTTTGAATGTCCTGATTGTGGGAAAAGTTTCAGTCAGAATTCTGAGCTGGTGATTCATCAGAGGACGCACACAGGAGAGAAACCCTTTGAATGTCCCAATTGTGGGAAAGGTTTCAGTCAAAGGTCCAGCTTGGTGGTACACCAGAGAACTCACACAGGAGAGAAACCCTTTGAATGTCCTGATTGTGGGAAAAGTTTCAGTCAGAATTCTGAGCTGGTGATTCATCAGAGGACGCACACAGGAGAGAAACCCTTTGAATGTCCTGATTGTGGGAAAGGTTTCAGTCAAAGGTCCAGCTTGGTGGTACACCAGAGGACTCATACAGGAGAGAAACTCTTTGAATGCCCTGATTGTGGGAAAGATTTCAGTCACAATTCTCACCTTGTAAATCACCAGAGGACTCACACAGGAGAGAAACCCTTTGAATGTCCCGATTGTGGGAAAGGTTTCAGTCAAAGGTCGAGCTTGTTGGTACACCAGAGGACTCACACAGGAGAGAAACTCTTTGAATGCCCTGATTGTGGGAAAGATTTCAGTCAGAATTCTCACTTAGTAAATCATCAGAGGACTCACACAGGAGAAAAACCCTTTGAATGTTCTGATTGTGGCAAATGTTTCAGTTGGAATTCCAATTTGGTTAAACATCAGAAGATTCACACAGGGGATAAACCCTTTGAATGTTCTGATTGTCGGAAATGTTTTAGTCAGAATTCTGAGCTGGTGATTCATCAGAGGACTCACACAGGAGAGAAACCCTTTGAATGTTCCGATTGTGGCAAATGTTTCAATTGGAATTCTGAGCTGGTGATTCATCAGAGGACTCACACAGGAGAGAAACCTTTTGAATGTTCTGATTGTCGCAAATGTTTCAGATGGAATTCCAATTTGGTTAAACACCAGAGGACTCACACAGAGGAGAAACACTTTGAATGTTTGGATTGTGGGAAGAGTTTTAGTCAGAATTCACACTTGGTGATACACCAGATGATTCATACAGGAGGGAAGCCATATGAGTGTCCAGATTGTGACAAACGTTTCAGTTGGAATTCCACTTTGGTTAAACACCAGAGGACTCACACAGGAGAGAAACCCTTTGAATGTCCTGATTGTGGGAAAGATTTTAGTCAGAATTCTCACCTAGTAAATCATCAGAGGGCTCATACAGGAGAGAAACCCTTTGAATGTCCTGATTGTGGGAAAGGTTTCAGTCAAAGCTCCAGCTTGGTGGTACACCAGAGGACTCACACAGGAGAGAAACACTTTGAATGTTCTCATTGTGGCAAATGTTTCAGTCAGAATTCCAACCTGGTGAAACACCAGAGGACTCACACAGGAGAGAAACCCTTTGAATGTCCTGATTGTGGGAAAGATTTTAGTCAGAATTCTCACCTAGTAAATCATCAGAGGGCTCATACAGGAGAGAAACCCTTTGAATGTCCTGATTGTGGGAAAGGTTTCAGTCAAAGCTCCAGCTTGGTGGTACACCAGAGGACTCACACAGGAGAGAAACACTTTGAATGTTCTCATTGTGGCAAATGTTTCAGTCAGAATTCCAACCTGGTGAAACACCAGAGGACTCACACAGGAGAGAAACCCTTTGAATGTTCTCATTGTGGCAAATGTTTCAGTCAGAATTCCAACCTGGTGAAACACCAGAGGACTCACACAGGAGAGAAACCCTTTGAATGTTCTCATTGTGGCAAATGTTTCAGTCAGAATTGCAACCTGGTGAAACATCAG